ACTTCAAGTCCTGTGCAAAAACGCATGATCGCACAGGCCCGCCCGGTGCGTTCCAGCCTGGGTTATGACTAGTTTTGTTGGCAAATTAGTGCTCGTGATAAATGCATTTTGAGGCTGAGAAACCTTTGATTCGTTGATCCCTGAAGTGAACGCAATGGGAAACAATGTAGCTGTACTTGAATTTATCACCCTGGTTGTTCTGATCGTCGCGAAATTTCTCCGAGCTCGTGACACGAAACGGATGGTTGCAACATATTCTGAACGACTCGAACGCTTCTAGAAATTCATTGAAACTGAAAAAACGTTGTAATTTATGGTGCAGAATTTTTCATAAGGACGTTGCACAACCAGCAGCAACCCACTGGGCCCGGAAGCATCCGAGAATCGCGTCCTTTCTGCATTTGCACAGGTATGCAGGAAAGCAAAAATAGCGGCACGCGGGTGCGCTGATGCAGCGTTGTAACACACTCCACGATGCATGCACCTTCAACATGCCGTCTCTCCCCGAGTCCGTTTTCCCCATCCATGTTTATGTTCATTGTTTATTTTTTCGGCGAGAATTGGAGCTAAAGCTGGATATTAGCATGGCGTGGTATGATCTTCCAATTGTTTGCGAAATTAGCTCTGGTCACTTTTATGCATACCAATCATTTTTTCTTTTTGCCTGCACAATTTTCGCTTGCTTTCCACTGGAGAATTTTTAATACAGAGACATTCTCAGAGTGATTACTAACAATTCGACACCGAGCGTAACTAAAGAAAACACGTTCAGGTAAGACGATGCACTAAACACCAAAAGGTGAGAGGAGAAAGCCTTGTTCATGAGAAAACAGAGAATCCCAATAAAGCTGGCATTTTTTTTTACCTTGAAAATTCGACTTTGTAAGCATTTTTTTTAGCTTGTTTGAAAAGCGCTGCTCGTTCTTCATCGAAAAAATCAGCGCATTTTCGAACGCCGTAGCGTTGGGACTCAAGTATCGCACGCTCTGGTCCATTCTCCTCATCATCACGCTTTAAGCGATCTGAAAATTTTCATTAGAATGACGGGCCAGAAGCCCAGAAAATTGTTTGCCCCTAGCTTGTGCAGGAATCCCAAAATTCTGTGGGCTGGCTGCATGATGAAAGCAGTCCAAATGCCCGCAGTCCTTTTACTCGCTATGAAACGAAGAAAGTAAGCATTGACTATCAGAGCATTGCACTGAGTCGGATGGATCTGCGATATTGCCATTCAACAAAGACGTGTTGGAGCGCGTCCTACGGCCACGGTACCAATTTTCATTCACGTCTGAGCTCTGTATGAAGGTTTTGGCAGAAAAATTGCTAAATTGGCAATCAGAAATGCCGGAGAATTGAAATTTTGAGGGTGTTCGCCGACGTAGAGATTTCAAATTTAGTCTGTAGTTGTGCGTTATTCTTACATATGGGAGGTAAAAATTTTGGCAGAAAAATTGCTGGCTGAACAACAAGATTACTTCTGTAGAATAACTGTTCGACAGAAATTGTTTACTTCTCTCTGCGCAAAATTTAAAATGATTTACGTTAGAGAGGGCACAAGATAAA